TGTGCCGCTTACCCAAGTACCTGTACGGCCTCAAGCAATCCCCAAGGTGCTGGAACGGAAAAGTTCAACGACCGGTTGCTGAGTTTGGGATTTCGTCGATCGCTGCACGACTACTGCCTCTACGTGCAGGTGGTACCAGGAGACGAAATTTATATCATTATGTATGTGGACTATTTGCTCATCGCTGGGAGGAAGATTGAAACGATTGTGAATCTGAAGAAAGCCCTGAGTTCGACGTTCAAGATGACGGACTGCGGTGAGATCAGTCGTTTCCTAGGTATGAAACTAGAATACGACCGTGCGACGAATTCCATGAAACTCTCTCAAGAAACGAATATCGAAAAAATATTGATACGCTTTAAGATGACGGATTGTAACCCGACCAAGACGCCTAATGGAGAAAAACCTGGTTGTTTCCCGTGATGGTGAGTCAGCCCAAGAACTGTACCGTGAGCTGCTGGGCACAATTATGTACGTAATGCTGTGCACCAGGCCTGATTTGTGTTTCCCCGTCGGATTCCTGGGCCGTTACCAACAGAACCCAACAGTTAACCATTGGCAATGCCTCAAGTGTATAGTACGGTATTTGAAAGGAACGAAAACGAAGCACCTGAAGTTCGTACGCGACGAATCAGCGGATATGCTGACGCCGACTGGGCATCGGATGCGGAAGACAGGAAGTCAGTCAGCGGCTACCTGTTCACGGTATTCGGTAATCCTTTATCGTGGTCGAGCAAAAAGCAGGTTACCGTTGCTACATCCTCGAGTGAAGCGGAGTATGTGTCGCTGAGTTCTGCTGTTTCGGAAGCGATCTGGTTGTCCGGAGTAATGGAAGATCTTCAATTGAAGCGGCCTGCGGATCCGGTCGTAATATTTGAGGACAATCAAGGAGCGATAGGTATGGCGAAGAATTGTGAAAGCAATAGAAGCAAGCATATAGATATCAAGCATCACTTCATCCGGGACCACATTGCAAATGGACGTGTAGCGGTGAAGTATATCAGTACCGAGAAGCAACTGGCAGATTTGTTCACCAAACCGGTGGACGCGGTGCGCATGGAGAAGCTGTGCCAAGGCCTTGGAATGGCCGATTGAGAGGGGGTGTTGGCGTAGTAGGCAATCAGCCGTCGCTTTCCTCTGTTACGTTGTTGGGAAGCCCCCCCTGGCAACGACCCGTTACCTGTTTGTGATAATTAATAAATGTTCATTCCACAATCGCACTTCGTGTAGTACAGACGTTTAAATAAACTTTTCTCCGTTTTTCCTGTTAAACCGTATACTTCGTTTGGAGTCTCCCGTTTGTCCCTTCAAGAGGTTTGGATGATACGTCGTTAAGCAAAATAACTATACACATTTTGTTAGGGTTGCTGCTGGATGCCATCAAAACACAAATCAAGCTTTCTTTAGCGGATCAAATCCGTGAAATTTTAGAAAAAATAATCAATATTTTCACCTAGCTTGAGGCTATTTTTCTGGATGAGTCGAATGGAAATTAAAGGCAAACCTATTTCGTTCGACAAATCAAACGTCAAATTTAATCATCCTGCCGCACAAGTGTGAACGCATCCGAACATTGCATCTGACAAAATTATCGAGCAGTCCGCTCGAATCAGACCAACAAATCAGATAGTCGAAACGTACCTTTAGAAATAACTAATTTTACACGTGACGGAATCCATCTTTGACATAAAGGATGAGATGTAAACTAACATGTCATGTAATATTAAGTGCTCTGAGACTAAAAAGTTCGTTGATTCACGAAAAGTTCGTTGATTCACGAAAAGTACGTTTGATCGAGCTATATTTTGCGTCTATTATGACACAAATTTATGTCAAAATTAACGCTTGTATATGTCACTCTCAGGGCACCTAAATATACATAATTTTTTCTAAGTGTGTAGCGTAGAATACACTTATGTAAAATGTTTTTTTTAGGTCAAATCGGACTAACATTGTACAAGGAATCCAAATCCAAAGGTCAGATTGTACATGTAATGTATTGTAAAAAGTTTTACATAAGAAAGTATGGAAAACTAAGAGGTACGATAAAAATGAGCCCCAGATTTGGAACGTATGCTATTGGTACACTACTTTGGTCAAGGTTTTGGAATGTTTTACCAAGATTTTCGAAACATCACCCGTCTATTCATTTCATTTTCATTTTCATTTTCAAGCACAGAAGGGGGTCATATGGCCAAGTCACCAGCGAAAAATCGCTGTCCATACTGCACCAGGGTAGAGGTATAGATTTGGCATCACAGAATAATAACTACAGGGGTCAAATGAATCCTGTTTACGATACCGGATAGTAAGGAAAGCTGTTGAACATAGGGGATAGTCAGAGTAACAGCAATAATAGTGAAAGTTAGGAAAATAAGCAGGTAGAGATGGTAGATTTGCAATGGTTATCGACTCTGTTATATGGCCTACCGTATCAGATTCAAATTTAATGTCGTTTAATATTGCGCTTATTACTTGTATCTTTATTCTAAGCAATCTCCTTTCATACTTGTTTGTTTTAAAGTGAACTGGATGAAAAAAAAAAAATGTTGCAAAAGTTCATACCATAACATATCTAACTTACTATCCACATTTGCTAACTAATACCTGAATGTAATTTTTAATTTTATTTAGATAAGTTGCTCACAATAGCAGCCTGTAGTTCCGTACCAGAATCCGCCTCCAATTTAATGTCTTTTGTGGATTCGTAGTAGCAAAGTTGTGCTAAAAGCTAAATAGTTACCTAAAAATACTACCTAAATCCACTACTGATGAAAACCAAAACTACAACCCTGAAAAAACGTATCGATATTTTCGAAGGCGAACACTCTGCAACCTATTCTTGCTAGTGATTCTGTCCAATTGTTAGGTATCCAAATTATAGTCATTGGTTAATTTATTTTTGAATATATGGATGAATTATCAATTATTGAATAACTATTATTTACGATAATTACATGAAAGAAATAAACTATAAACAAAACGTGACTACTAAAATCTCAAAAAGATATCCTCACAAATATATTTCACGCAACCAGGAATCTCAAAACCATTAGACGTTATAATGATACTCTACACATGTTAGACACAAGAAGAGGCCAAAAAGCAAGCGTCCGACACACAAAACCCGCCAAATCCACTTGCAGTCACAATCAACGATTCTACGAATCGCGAGCGCTCACGAATCATAAAACCGCTGACTGCGAGACTCTGAAAGCGAAACTGACAGGCTCTATGCGTCAAACACCCGCCCTCCAATCTCCTCCCGCATCCAACAACACAAATCTCCATTACAACATCTAACGAATTCAAAACTCCGACAATCACTCATCTATAGCAAGTGAGTGGAAGCAACCCTGCATGCAACCATTCTTCATGGTACACTTTTTCTGTCTATCTTTCTATTAGGCCTGTGGACATGCGTTAGCTTCGAAACTTCTAACCAAACTAGGAAAATTTTGAGACCACAAAAAAAAAACTTTCAAATGTAATTACAAGCAAAATAAATATTGATTATTTTACGCAAAACCGAGCAAGTAATATTAAATCTCTTGTATTGTATGCTAATGCCAATTGACTGTAACAAAAATAGTATGCTAAAATTAAATAAAATTTTAATAAAATGATATGCAAAATTTACTAGAAGATCATTACTTTATTGGTGAGAAGTTTCTAATAAGCCCTCCCAGTTCCTCTGTATACAGAACAAATCTGATACTATAATCAGAATTGCTCAGTCTGCATGAAGCAGCCGATTGCATCAAGGAAGTTCTATTAACAACCAAGAATTAATCGTTTGAGGCATACTGAAGCATTAAGAAGGTGATATGTGTCACTATAGGAAATCATCATCGTTGCAAATACATATAAAGAATTAAACATAACCCTTTGCTTCAGTAACGTCAACCTCCATGTCCATGGGGAGGGACATCACCCGTCTATTCCAATCCAAAACCAGTCATTTGAGAGGTACGATCACAATCCTTGAAGGTACCCTAGAGTTCGCTGTTAATACACTCCGAAAAACATGATTTTATCAATTTTTATTAAAAATGTCTTGCTGGATTAGATTGATTTTTTACTTTGAATACCTACATGGAAAGTGTTTTCTAAAACGTATTTTTCCATTCTTACAACAGCCCTAGTGCAAGGCTATATTTTGGCATGACCTTGGCCAGCTTTCCCTACTATAAACCAGCTATACAGGTATACAGTTAATCTTGATTTTAAAGTCTGGTTAAAAGTAAATGTGGACCCATTTAAATCATAAATGAAGTATGGTACACATCTGTTTGACGGCTCAAGTTGATTCATTATTCAAATGATATAAACATTTTGGCTAACTTGAAACTAGACCATGAAGGATTATCCTGGAGTTTGTGCATGATCAATTTTAATATTTTGACTTTTAAGAACTAGGTATAGCTTTAAAACGCGTTGATCACCTTGTCGAAATTTGCACCATTTAGCCGTCTTGAAGAAATGGTCACCAGTTGTCAAAAGTTTTTAGTTCAAACCAATGGGACACGGTGTTGCATTAGAATCCATGTCCAGGGCTTCTAGCAGCTTCTTTGGCACGAATCAGGTTGACGAGAGTACTACAGAAGCAATATACGCGACCTCTACGAATCTCCACAATTTCTTCGACTCCACTGCCGCCAATGGACAGTGCTAAAAAAAAATGCTGTCAAATGTTTCTTGTTCCATCCACTTGTGACACGGCTATTTGTTTCGGAAAATTGATGAAAAAGTGATTATGATTTCGTTTCTATCATTTAGTGGGCAGCTTGTAGACGATGACATGCATGAATCCAGGAGTGGTTGAAGTGATCTTTAATTATGCAGGAAGTGTATCTACCGAATAGCGTAACCAATTGGCGCCAACAATAAGCAAGGAAAAAACACGTGCACTTTCGTCGTGCGCACGCGTCCTCCTTCGGCACCGTGGCAACTACGCGCTCGACCTTCCACAACAAAAAGAACTCGCTGTAAACATAGTAACCGGCAGCTTGTTTTTCTCGCACTAACAATCAGGAAATCTCCCAGGAAAGAGAAAGTTTCTCTTATCAATCGGTCGTAATCTTCAAGAAAAATCCTGTTTATCCTCGTACCGGTTCAAGGTAGAAGGTTATCTATTGTTTTTGTTTTCAAACACTATAACTCAAGTTCAATGTTCAGGTGAAAAATGAGCTCCAATAACAAACCAGTGGACAATAGTACCTCGGTCACCAACTCACTGATTCCGGAATCTAGCTCTAGCTCAGAGACCGCCAGCAGCAGCAGTAGCAACTGGGACAAGACGGATTACAGCTCCTTTCGGTCTGAAAAGCACACAAACCACAATGAAGATGCGTTGAGTTCGACCTCCGGATCTTCTTCTTCCTCCTCGCGCCAGGACCGGCGACATCGAGGTGGTTTCCAAGTGGACATTCTAAGCTCTGAACCGGAAGATTTCGACGAGAGTGGCCATTTGTTCCACTTGGATATCATGAAGAACAGTTTGAGCGATATATCTTTGCCTTCGTCCCGGAAGGTGATCTCAGGAAAACCGAAGCAACCTCAGAATCTGTCGTTTTCTCGCGAGCGTGTACGGGAGATTGAAAGGCACAATCAGCTTCTACTGCAGCGGATCATGACCACGAAGCCAACGTTGACCACAAAGCCAAAAAGTACTGTGCCGGTGGTTTGTACGGTAAGATTGAGTTTGAATGGGGAATTTCAAATAGTAAGCGACAACTGAATTCGTATGTTGGAGAATGTCTTACTGGCAATAACCATTTTAAAATTTGTTATCTCATTTTGATCAAAGTTGATTGAAACTAGAAAAATATACTTTTAATGAGAAATATTTCTTAAATATTCAACTTTATGAAAAAGATTCATCACCGTGTTCGAAATAGTTTTCATTGATCCTTATAAAATTTAAAAAAATTAATTGATATTGCATGTTTTTGAACTGTTCAATTTTTTTTTTCAGTTACACATTAAACATTTTGTTAATTTACATTTGGCACATTGATGGAATTTCTGACCTTACACAGCAATACAACTTTAATTTTACGTGATAATATTTGATAATCCATTCATTTTCATTGAACTTTACATGCATCTGTATTTTAATATAACAGTGAAAAGTTGAATTGAACATGAACGTTGAAATTTCAGTTTTAATTCATTTGATTACTGATCAGATTGTTTGATAGTCAATTCAATATCGTTTTATTTTCAGCCAGTAAATAATAACTCCCGAACTACCAGTGCTGCCGTTAACCGTAAGAAACAGCAACGTCAAATTGATATCGACAACCAGGTAAACGCTTGCGATCATTAATCATCTTCTGAAAAACCTAATTTTATCATTTTTTTTTTCATTCTCAGCTTCTTCGCAAAAAGTTGGAGAAAATTGAGCGAACACGTCGCAACGCTTGGTGAAACGGTTCCGTTTTTAGGCACAATCTTTTAAACGGCAGGATTTGTAGAACATAGTTTATTTTTATACTGAAGATTTAAAGACTATCCACTCATTCACTGACAGGAGTTGCCTAGCTGATCGAAACGATTTAAATTTGTGAACAATCAAAATTGAGGAAATATATACGAGTTAGAGTTTGTTTGATGCATGAATGATGGTGGCAGTTATATCTTGTGAAAGAATGAAATTTTTGAGTCGTGTTCAAAACTGTTGTGAATCATGTATGATTCATTTCTCAATTTCAGCTAGCCAGAAAATTGAGCGTACACGTCGAAACGCTTGGGGGAACGGTTCCGTTTTCAAGCACAATCTTTTATGCGACAGCATTTAAAGAACATACTTTTGTTTTATACTTTCTTTTCTATTTCTTTAAACAACAAGTTGCACAAATTCGTAGTTGGTACAAGTCCTGGACCATTGTTTGATAGTATTGCCACCTCCGTCCGTTACCGTATTGACCAAGATATGGGATTGATCAAGGTCTCTTAGATTGAAGCAGCATGATCTTCGAGAACTGTCCTGGCCAAGTTCTTGCAACTCCTGGGATGGGAAAGATTATTAGTTGGACACTTACTTAAGAGATCTCTACGACCTCAGGGAAGCGATTTGATTAAATTCAATCTTCTGAAAAATCTCCTTGCTATCGCAAAACGACTCTTGCTAGAATTATGCAGTTCCTTACTAGAAAACAACATTGTACCGCCTGAATGGAGACAGGTCAAAGTAATAGCCATTTAGCCCCGTAACGTGGGTAGATCACCTTTTCGTGGTACGTTACGGGATGTAAGATCTACCACCGAATCTTAGTCTTGACTACTTCAAACTAGGGGTACAGGATTTTTCAGTAATCAAAGGAACACATCTTAGTCCTTGTTACTTTTTATGCCTTGTTGATAGTGATAAGTCCTCGGGTTGCCTGTACCGAGGATGATCTTGAAACAAGGAAAAAATGAGTTAGTTAGTCTTCATCTATGTGATTCCTAATCTTCTATTCATTGTTCTCTAGTTTGAAGTGGTTAAGACTAGGGTTCTGATGCATGGTCATTATCGGTGTCATTGCTTATTTTTATTGCAAAGGAATCCCATTTCGACTGACAAAGGGGCGCGCCTTTGGAGGGTATTCCAACACTCCGAAGGGTATAAATAGCGGGACCTTTCATTTAGAATCGATTCCTTGCGATGAAGGCAAGAATGACAACTGTATCAACACCGAATACTTCATCATTTCTCAATAGTGATGGAGTAATACGACATGCACTAAACTAAGGACACGGGCTATACTACAATAGATCAAATTACTGGTCGCAGTAGTGTTATGTCCCGAACAAAGGAAAAAAAAAAAATAGCCATTTAAAAACCTGGCAAACCGTCGTCTGACCACTACTCAACTCATATCGTTCGATTGCTATGCTTTCGTGCATTAGGTAATTGTTGGATAACATGATCCTTCGAAAACTCGATCACTTTGTCGAATCAAATAACACTGGGTTCCGCAAGAGCAAATGAACAAACAACGATCCACTTATATTCAACTGACCTTTGCGCATAAGGAGCAATTGGCTTTAGTATTCTAGGACATTAAGACGGATTTTGATTCAGTTTCTATTGAAATCCTGCCAGACAATCTGCACAGCAAATTAACCTTTTCTCTTGAACAACTGACAGCTTCCAGAATTATCTACATGGGCCTGCCTCAAGGCTCATGTATCAGCCCTCTTCTTTATAACTTGTGTGTCAAAGATATCGACAACTGTTTGGCAGAACAATGCACTCTAAGACAACTTGCAGATGACAGTGTGGTTTCCGTAAGAGGTCCACCGGCCGTGGGCATGCAAAGACCATTGCAAAGTTCTTTAGATAAAGGGTGTCCACGATGAAATTGCCACACTATGAAATTGCTCTAACTTTTTAACCGTTGGGTAGAATTTAATGAAAATTTGGGTGTATTTAGTTCATAGTGCATTATTTACATCCTGCAAGTTTTAAAGTCCTGTGATCAAAACTCGCGGAAATGGAGTCGAAAGAACAGCTCGTGCGTGATAAAATCTTGCGCATTCATCACGAGAACAAGGATCTCTCGCATCGTTCCATCGCTAAAACGTTGGGAATCGCGAATTCCACGGTGTCGCGAGTGATTAAGTGGTTCGAGGAACGGTTGACCACCGATCGGAAGCCCAGAAGTGAAGGAAAAAGTATTCCGTACAACACCAAAAATCACAACCGCGTAGTTGGGGCCTTCAACCGAAATCCGAACGCCTCCGTTAGGGATGTGGCTAAGAAGCTGCACCTAAGCCGAAGTTTTGTCCAAAAGGCCAAAACTAAGGCTGGGCTTCGAACGTTCAAGGTACAAAAGGCCCCTAATCGCGACGAGAAGCAGAACAAGTCCGCCAAAACCCGTGCCGGAAGTTGTACCTCAACATGCTGACGAAAGTTGAATGCTGCATCATGGACGACGAAACATATGTGAAGGCCGACTTCAAACAGATCCCCGGCAACCTGTTTTTCACGGCCAAGGATAAGTTCAGCGTTCCGGAGCATGTCCGAACTCAGAAGATGTCCAAATTTGCGAAGAAATTCCTGGTTTGGCAAGCCATCTGCACGTGCGGGAAGCGGAGTGCACCTTTCGTGACCCAGGACACGATGAACGGACAGGTGTACATAAAAGAGTGCCTCCAGAAGCGGCTGCTTCCTCTCCTGAAGGCCCACAACGTCCCAACAATCTTCTGGCCGGATTTGGCCTCATGCCACTACTCCAAGGACGTGCTGAAGTGGTATGCGGACAATAAGGTCAATTTCGTGCCGAAAATGTTCAACCCTCCCAACACTCCGGAGCTCCGGCCCATCGAGAAGTACTGGGCGATTATGAAGCAGCACCTTCTTAAACGACCTAAGATAGTGAAGACAGTCGAGGAACTGAAGAAAGTATGGGTTTACATGCAAAAAACGGTTGATTCACAGGTTGTGCAGAATCTTATGGCCGGGGTTAAGGCCAAGGTGCGGGCATTTGCGTATGGACTGTAAATAAAATACGAGTAAAATGGTAAAATGAAGTTTAATAGTTATTTCTCAATCCCTGAAAATTTGATGGCAATCGGATGAAAACTCGAATTTTGCGAATCAATTTTGTGTGTGGCAATTTCATCGTGGACACCCTTTAATGTTTCTTAAATAACTTAGAAAACATTGCCCAATCATTGTCTTTCAAGTACCTTGGGGTCTGGTTTATTCAAAGTGCACTTGGAATACCCACATTACGTATTTGAAGCACAAATGTCAGCAGAGGATCAACTTTCTACGTTCAATTTGCGGCACATGGTAGGGTGTGTGGACAAAACTACCAGCCAACAGGAAGCAACACACGCGGAAAAGGACGTAAAAGGAACTTCGGATTACGAAACTTAGAACAACCGATTACAGTACTACATAATTATATTTACGTCCAACATACACGAGTTGTTGTCTGCTTTTGGCTGGTAGTTTTGTCCACAGGTTATGGGCCCAGCGCAGGAGAACTGAAGAAAAGTGCTGAACTGAAAAAGAAACTGTTCTAGTGATTTTTATTTTCTCGCGGACTCGAAATGTGTGGTAGCCGGTTTTTTTTTCATAATGGCGGACGGTGCAATAGTTTCATTCCCCAAGTTGAGTCAAACGAACTGGGCTTCTTGGAAGCAACAAATGGAATGGTTGTTCGAGAAGGAGGATTTGTGGGATGTCATAAGTGTTGCAATGCCGGAACCGGAGACCGAAAATTGGAAGAGTCACGATCGGAAAGCTCGTGCGAACATTGGACTTTTTCTCGATGAAAGTCAATTCAAGTTGGTGAAGAATTCAGACAGTGCTCGTGGGATGTGGAATGCTCTGTGGGAGCACCACGAAAAAGCAACAATGTCCACCGTTGTGCATAATCTAAACCAACTGTGTAGTGCAAATATGGCTGAAACCGGAACATGGAAGAACATTTGAACACTATGGAAGAGTTGTTTGATAAGTTAATTGCTGTTGGGTAAAACTTGGACGAGTCGTTGCAGATAGCATTGATTTTCCGTAGTGTTCCTCCGTCGTATCGGAACTTGGTGCAAAGTTTACAGTGCCGGGCAGATGCTGATTGGGCAGGTGTACCATAGAGGTAACTCTAAGACCAGAAGGTCCCGAAGATACGTGCTCAACTTTTTGGCTCTGCTCTGGTACTATCTTCGGTCCCAAGCTTATCGATGCACCCCTCGAAACATAGGAAAATCCATGAACCCCTCATTTTATCTGTCAAACTTTCATAGCAAATCAAAACAAACATAGTAAAGTACTAGAAGTTCGAATAGAATGGGATACGTTAATCGTTTGCTTGGGACCAATAGGCTAGTCAAGTAGTGAGCCAATTTAAAATCGTTAGTTTCGAATTGATTGTTGGTTGTACTGGTAAAAGCTCGCCATTTGAATGAGAACAACCAACGGCGGGAGAGAAGTGATGTTTTCTCGAACGATATGAAAGCGATGAAGTTCGATGCAGGTGAAAACAGAAGGTGTGTTTTTTCTTAAACAACCCGGTCATTTTCGAAAGCACTGCAAGAAGTTGCAGTCGTAGAAGAATATTTGTGAAGATGAGAAGAAACCGCAGCATCGGAAGGATGATAATTACAGAGGTGGAAATCCAAAAGCAAAACAGGCCCATAACGCGGGTGGTTTTGGGTGATTTGTGTGTTTTATGATTTCCACCTCTGTAATTATCATCCTTCCGATTCTGTTGTTTCTTCTCATCAACTTAGAACAACCCATTACAGTACAACATGATTATATTTACTCCAACATACACGAGTTGTTGTCTGCTATTGGCTAGTAGTTTTGTCCACAGGTTATGGGCCCAGCACGCTTCCAATATAATCATGTAGTACTGTAATCGGTTGTTCTAAGCTTCGTAATCCGAAGTACCGTCCTTTTCGTCCTTTTCCACGTGTGTTGCTTCCTGTTGGCTAGTAGTTTTGTCCACAGGGTGCTCATCCGGGAAAATCGTAACGTTTTTTTTTTTTTGTAAATTAATTCATTTGTACAGGCGCGGTGTGGTGGATGGGTTTCGGGCGTGGACAGAGTGGAAAAAATAGCCGACCCAGGTTAATCATAATTCCAATGTGTTTTGGTGGAATTTATTAAAAAAGATATGAGTAAGGCTTAAATAAGTACGGTGGAAAGTGATTTGATGCAAAAGATTAGTGTTAGAAGTCTCAGAAAGGTCTAAAAGTGTGAAAAAAGAGTTGGCGCAGATTGTGAAAATAAAAATAAAAATAAAAAGGAAAATGGCGAGAAGCAGAAGAAACCGGATGGCTGAACGACGGTGCAATACGAGAAAAAAAAAACAAACGGTTGCGTCCTCTGCGTAAGATGGCCGAAAGACGACAAAAAAGAAATGGATGTTTGTCCCCAAAAAAAAGCTAAGTACAATAGTTTTGTGTTGCGTTAAATGTAGAGGGTGGGTTTACTCGGGAATGGGATGCAGATTTTCCGGAAAAGCTGCAGCAATGTGGGTGACGTTTCCTCGAATTTGGGTGGAATTTCGCTCATCTGTATGTGGATACACTTTTTGCGCTTTTTGAGTGAACTGATATGAGCACACTGATAAAATTTCAAAGATTATTTTTATGTGTCCCACACATGAATTTTTGAAATGTGATCAACGAATTACATCTATTTGTCGGACGCATACTTAATATGTGTACACATAAAAGCCATGTGTAACCAAACATACTATTCTTTTGACTAATAAATTTTATGTGGGCTTCTGGGTGGATTCTGTTTATGTGTGGTCATATAAAAAATCATGTGGAATTTCACATGGAAATTCGTCAATAAAAATGTGTGGAATTGTATTAGTGTACCTTTTTTTGTCCGAGTATAGAATGGTACAGATAGGCGAGACAACAACCAATTCAAGCGTTTGTTGTAATGCCATCTAGTGTCTTTTTTTTTTAATGTATAGATGTAATGATAGTACACGACTAGAAAATGGTTCCCAGCGACCAGTTCACTTTTCCTTACTTTTGATAGTTTTTCTCCTTTTCTCCTTCTAATAATGCCAAAAACAATGAAAATTAACGAGATAAGATTAAATTTGTTCGTTTGTGGTTGTGTATTAAAAAACTGATTGAGGTTGTGTTGGTTCTGCCATGGTTATTGTATTTGGTGGGCTTGTTCCAGTTATGTCGCTTTCGTTATTACGGATTGCGGTGTAGCACCGGTGTAGTGTAAACAGGAATAAGCGCGAGTCTTTGACAGCTTAACATCATTAGTTTTTAAACAAAGGTGCATCCTATATCAACACCCTAAATTATTTCGGTGTACGGCAGTGTAGCACCGCAAAAACGAATACGAAATAAATTTCGTATAATTTGAGTGCACCACATGAACTTAAGTTTAATTTAATTGATTATGATTCAAATTGAAAAGACATAAAGGTTTTGGGCCTACGGGAGAAGAGGTAGTAAAATTATTTTCACTCCCGCGAGTTTTCCTCTTAATCAATAGAAAAAAAAGACAAAACACAACATATTTCCTTCCTTTTAATTAGCTACGGGTGTGACCACGATGGCGAGTTCACTATGTTATATTTTCGTTTTATTTCAGCAACCTTATCTTCCAGCAGATGATCCGGACAGCAATTTCAACATTTATAAAAAAAAACTACATATGCCAGCAACACTGACTGGGTGTATCCTATGGCTTACCTTCCCAACTAACATAATTCCTAAATTCCCGAGACATTTATGAGGGGTCGTAGAGTTCTCTGTATCTCTCTTAAGTAAATGTTGGACTAACATACCTTTCCTATCCCTACCAGTTGTAAGGACGTGGCCAGGACAATCCTTAACTGTTGGAGCGGGATATGTCTTTATCTGGGAGATAGTAATTACTTCCTACTTACTATCTGTCCAGTAATAGATATCCGTCCTGCTCTTAATAGTTTTGAATTCGTACCACCTACGATATTGTGCAACTTGTGCGATGCTAATGCTAATGCTAATGCTAATTAATTCATTTGTACAGGCGCAATCGAATAAACTTTACAGAGCCAAGTTATAATTTACGTTATAAAGCCCTTCCAATTTATAATCCGTACGTTTATTTTTGTTCGGTTCAGCGCTCCTAGTGCTCGATTTTGAAAGCTTTCTGCCTGTAACTTAATTGAGCCTGTAGATCTTCAAGATCATAACTCTAGAATTCTTTGGAGTGCAATAAATATCTTGATGATATCAATCCGTGGTGTACCTTGAACTTCATGGATTCATTCAGATTTCCAGGACATTGCTCAATACTTTATTGAGCCTGTAGAACTCTTAGCTCTTAGCCTCAAAACAATTTGGAGAGTATTGAAAATCTTATTCATACCAATACAAATTGAACATGTTGTCAGGAGGCTTTCTTGAGTTTCACGAACTGATAAAGATTTTCAGGACATTGTTCAAGACGATATTGAGTTTGTTGATATTCAAGATCTTAGCTTTAGAATAGTTTGAAAAGCAATTAATATCTTAGTGACAACGATCCATCATTTGCATGTTGTCTGGGGATCTTTTGAGTTTCACAGGTGAGCTGAAAAACATGATTTAGGATAAGTTGTTTTTCCCATAAGACCCATGTACTACGGGTAGTGACGTATACCACCTCGCCTTGTCTTACCGATCACCTTTTCAAGGTATCACGACCATATCATAGTTGAGAGTAAAACCAACAGGTTATAAATTGTAGCAACCCAACAAACAATTTGAGCTGATCAACAGCTGAACAAGCTATTTTTTAGCTGAAGAAGCTTGTTTTTGCCTGAATAAGCTCTTATTCAACATTCAATGTTTGTTGGGAAGTTCTGGACTGGTTACAATTAAACCATAGAGGTAACTCTAAGACCACTGGGTCCCGAAGAAGATCATTATTAATTTTGGCTCACTCAGTACCAGAACAACGGTCCCAAGCAGTCCCAAGCTATTTCACTCACCCCTGCATGTTCTGCATGAATCCACACACACCTGATGTTATCTGTCAAACTTTCATAGCGAATCAAAACAAACATAGTGTAGTAATAGAATTTCAACTAGAATAGGGTACGTTAATCGTTTGCTTGGGACCAATAGGCTACTAAAGTGGTGAGCCAATTTAAAATCGTTAGTTTCGTATTGATTGTTGATTAAACCCTCCCCATGGTTAGTTGTTGCAGCTTGCTGCTGGTGGGCGGGCTTAATTTCATGCTTTATAGTGGAGTGTTGGAGACGGTAGGTTTATCACACTTGTTACTCCTTTGTTTGAGAGCCGCGTTGTAGCAACAATCAATACGAAACTAACGATTTTAAATTGGCTCACCACTTTAGTAGCCTATTGGTCCCAAGCAAACGATTAACGTACCCTATTCTAGTTGAAATTCTATTACTACACTATGTTTGTTTTGATTCGCTATGAAAGTTTGACAGATAACATCAGGGGTGTGTGGATTCATGCAGAACATGCATGGGTGAGTGAAATAGCTTGGGACTGCTTGGGACCGTTGTTCTGGTACTGAGTGAGCCAAAAATAATAATGATTTTCTTCGGGACCCAGTGGTCTTAGAGTTACCTCTATGGTTGTAGTACGCTTACGTATAGGCACTGACGATGGGTGTGATACTGGCGGGTTTTGCCGCAAATCACTCTTATTTCAGTTATTTTTACGCAAATTTAAATTTATTTGGGTTTGCAACGGAATTATACTACTGAAATATTTCAGAAAGTGCCCTATAGTGCTCCTTCTATTTGCGTGACGCATTACTCAGGGAACAATGTTAAACACCATTTTTGTGCATGGTATTGTAACTAATCTTATGGGCCTTATTACGGGTGTCAACACGGTGATAAGGAAGTGATACTCATAATAAGAGCCGTGATTGCCATACAAATCAAATGGGAATCACTTCACCGTGACGACAAGTGACAAGTTTTCACCGTGAAGTGACAATCGTAATAAGCTCCTATATGTGCTTCATTTTGATTTGGGATAAGTGATTGAACTGAGGCTCGGGATTTCCACTGTGGCGTGCTTCTATTGTGACATACCCATACGTATTTTTGTGCTGTTACATAATGGAAACGTGTGAGCGTATTTGGAGCATATGCCCTATATAATTTAAAAATCAGTTAAGAAACTAACTTCGAAGTGAAGCATTTTAGTCACTTGAAGGTGTTCCCTGGGACGAACTAAGATATAATAAATATAGGTCAAAGTCAAAAGTACATGAAACACGTTAAATTTTAGATTACAAGCACAAATGCAGGTACTTAATAAAGCATGGATTATAATTGATTAGGTAGATTAGAGATTTCAATTATTTATGAAATTAGACCAATGAGATATCATAATTATCAAATGATCTTGAATAACTATGCGCTCTATACATTCCACCTGATCGAGTCCGGGACAATGAACTCATCGATACTCACTGTCGGTCAGTTTTCACAGTTCTCGAAAGTACCACTCCAGTTGATGAGATATTCAATTTTGGTGACTTCAATCTGCCAGGCGTTTCGTTGAGTCCATCTTATAGCGGATTCCTGTATCCAGATCCTGATAGCTCTACATTTTACGCAGGAGCTATTAGCCTTCTCGACAACTACAGCGCAGCGACGCTTTCTCAAATTAACCATGTAGTTAACGAAAATGATAGTAGTTTGAACCTCTGCTGCTCAATTTCCTCGGCTCCTTGTGCACTAACTAAGCTAGTTTCACATCACCCTCCTCTAATTTTCACTGTTGAGGACAAACTCGTGCGTGATTTCGACGATTATCCTGCTACGGTTTCTTATGACTACCGTAGCATCATACACACTTAGATTTTTTGCCGAAATGGGCACCACCGAGCAAATCTGCATTTTATTTTGCTGGATCTCAGTGAAAAACTTGCCGTGTGTAGATGTATTGTCTAGCATGGTATGGGAGAACATCCTTGATCCAAATGACGTTGAGGCTCCAGCACAAATCTTTTCACATGTCTTGGCATATGTCATTGACATACACGTCCCGAAAAGAACTCACCACAAAATGTCTCACCCTCCCTGGCAGACGAGAGAGCTACGTAGGTCAGCGAGTCAGTTGTGAATGCTTTTCAAGTTTCCAACGAGGCATCCAGCGCAAACATAAGCTACACCCGAAATCCTTTTGGAACTACGTGAACGAGCAACGTAGGGAATCCGGCCTCCCATCGTCAATGGAATTCAACGGAGAAGTTGCTGCCACCGTTCAGGATATATGCCACCTTTTTTCCGAAAAGCTTGCCAGTGTATTCACTAATGTTAGTTAATTCCGCTTTTTCGCTTGTTCCGAATGTCTCTCCAATGGCATAATTCTATCTTGCTGGAAATTTTGCGCACATGTTTCTCGTCCACAAAAAAGGAAGGAATAACTATCGAGGAATTACATCGTTAAGTGCCGTTTCGAAGCAATTCGAGCTAGTGATTATGGAACCGTTGCTGTCCCATTGCAAGTAGTATTTGAGTGCTGATCAACATGGGTTTACTGTCGGCCGCTCTACAACCACCAATCTGCTGTGTCTCACATCGAATATAACCGAAAGCATGTCGGATCGGGTTCAAACGGACGTTATTTATTCAGACCTATCCGAAGCATTCGACAAGTTGAACCATGCTATTGCGATTGCTAAACTCGGCAGGCTCGGTGTATGCGGTAATCTTCTGAGTTGGTTTCGATCATATCTTACCGGTCGCCAACTAAAGGTTGCCATAAAAGATTGCAGATCAGCTACCTTCTTGACCTCAAAATCTTCCTACGAATCGGCACCGTTGTTGACTGTCACTTTCTTCAACGTCAGCTGAATGTATTCGCTAGTGCCGTTGTCACTTATCGACCTAGAACTTCTTCGGACTAGAAGAGACACAAGCAGAGCCCCAACCGTGACCGATATCCTGCAAGGAAGGACAGATTGCGAGGCTATCCTGAGGCAAATTGACCTGAATGTTCAACCCGGCCGCTTCGTAATAACCTTATGCAAAGACCAACAATCAATTCGAAACTAACGATTTTAAATTGGCTCACTGCTTGACTAGCCTATTGGTCCCAAGCAAACGATTAACGTATCCCATTCTAGTCGAAATTCTAGTACTACACTATGTTTGTATTGATTTGCTATGAAAGTTTGAAAGATAAAATGAGGGGTTCATGGATTTTCCTATGTTTCGAGGGGTGCATCGATTAGCTTGGGATCGAAGATAGTACCAGAGCTGAGCCAAAAAGTTGAGCACGTATCTTCGGGACCTTCTGGTCTTAGAGTTACCTCTATGCTAAGACAACCTCTACGTCACACAAATTAGGAGCATATATGCGGCGCGATTTGCGGACTGCAGAGAGTATTCAACAGAGTTGCATCTGTCTTCGACTTTCATCTCTCCCGTGATGCGCTTCGTCGAAAGTTTTCTCCTGTTTTTCGCCGGCAGGAGTAACAACCCACATTAGATCCCTATGTGATTACTCACTCACTCACTCACTCAATGATCAGCAATTCACTGATTGTGACTATCAGGAAGCAAAATTGACAGGTTTTTCTGTGTCAACCCCTTCTTGTATCTTACAAATAAAAAATATGTTCATATAATCTAATTATTTCATAATTGCGAAAACATTTTTTTTAGCTGTAATGAGAGTTTGTAACTTTGCGTAGAACTAAATAAAAAAAACAATAAGAAAGACCAACTAAGAAACAAAAAATTGGCCGTTCAATGCGTGTTCGATGAACAACATGCGAGTGTTGTCTGTTTATCTGTGGTTTTCCCTAGAGAGGGTCTAGTATAAGAGAGGAGTGGACTGGCTGTTTTGAGTCAAATGAACAACCAAAGCCAGATCAAGCAGCGCCTATCTTGATTGCATTGGCAGTGTTGCTAGAAACCTCCTAGGCATAGGTTGCCAAGGCAGATTGTTTTCAATCTCTTATACTACACGCTCTCTAGTTTCCCCATGCTCAATCCCGTCAGCCAAGATTAGACAGGTGGTCCAAACAGGACTGGCAATAAAATTTCACAGATGCCATAATGGACATTCGGATAAAAGATATAACCTGTGTTATAATTTATATGTGTATGAGCAACTAAAATTTAATATATACAAGTGTACTGAACTAGAATCTAGTCAGTAAACTATAACAGTTTCTTTTTTCACAGTAGAAACGCAACATGCCTATTACCGTACTAGTATGACACCAGTTCAGTAATCTAGTAAGAATAGTCCGTTCGAACAGAGTCTGGTGTTGGGTAATGGGGATTAATTGCTGGAATTAATGGCGTTTGCAGTACCGGTGACTGCTGTTGGACTTGGTTTTGAGAAAGCGGCTGTTGTGAATGATACTGTTGATGATCAATCGTTTGAGCGTTCAAAGACAGGGATGAAGCAGACGAGGGTTGCGGTTCATCCATCAAAAGTACGCCATTTGCCGACATAGTTGGGTCAACCTGTTGCCCTGAACCATCCGGTTCTCGCTTGCGAACCCGTGTCGGTTCACGGTGATCTTCATTATGTACAGTTTTCATATGCATCTTCCAACAGGGTTTCATCGCAAACGATCTTCCACAGAGTTCACATACATACGGGCGCTCGCCGGAATGCTTCTGCTCGTGCGCCTTAAGGTAGCTCCTGTTCGAAGGAAGATTCATTACAAATACTTAGTTTGGAAATCGATTTGAAAGAAAAATACTAACTTAGAAGTGAACTTCTTCCCGCAATGCTGGCACTCTACTTTCATATCGGAATTATGCATCATTACGTGCCTTTTGAACGTTCCTGCTCCCTTTATTGAACGATTACAAACACTACAATCATACCGAAGAATTTTATCCGAGTGAACCACCATTTTGTGTTCCTTTATTCCACGAAGCCCGTAGAAAGCAAGTGTGCAATCGGGCACATCGCACGAATATGGCCGCCGTCCAAGATGCTTGTTGACGTGACCTTCGATTTCACGTTTATGGACCGAGCTTCCGCAGGTTTCACATGTTACATGATGTTTCAAACCAGCATTTTCCGCTCTCACATAATACTTCCAGGTTCGCTTCTCAGAGGCATCCTTTTGTTTCTCCGGTGCATGGTCTTCCTTCTTCTGGTGTCGTTTCACGTGAGCTTCCAAGTTGTACTTCAATGCAAATCTCTTGCCGCATATTTCACACTCGTGTGGAGTTAAACCTTGAACAAAATATTGATAGTTATGCAATACAAAAACTGCCAATGGATCTCTTTGCAACCTGCTACCAAGACTGGATACAGTAGATTACTTTCCACAAAATGGGGAAACAGTGTTACTTTTGATAAGTAATAAAAATAATATAATTATGTACAGTTTTAAATGTTAAGCGAACCTCACACGTATCAAAATGTTGACGCTAAGAGGAATTATTGACAATAATATTTATGATGTCAATACAGAAATATTGTCAACACCGATGTATTGATAATACGATTAGTCACAGGACTCACTTAAATAATCACTTTATAACAGAAGACATTATTAAGCAAAAGTAATATGGTAATAAGTAATAATAATAGTTAAATAGTAAATAGGTATCAAGCTATTAATTGTTTAAACTCACCCGTATGAGTGACCATATGTGTTTGCAGCTGAGCTTTCCGGCGAAACTTGCTCCCGCACACTTCGCAGGTAAATTGAGGCCCTTCGGTGTGCGTCTTAACATGCCGCCGGAACCATTCCACTCCTTTAATATTGCGTCCGCATATTTCACATACGTGATACGTAATCTGGTGACGTTTACTATGAGTTCGCAGATCGTTCTGCGAAAAGTAGGATCGACCACAACCCTCGAAATCGCACTTGTACGGTCGTACGCCCAGGTGCTGATTGTGGTGTGATTCTTTCACAAAATGAGCCACCGTTTGACCGCATATATCACACATACTGGGATCGGATTTGCGAACCTTTTTTCGTCGTGGCCCGCGTTTCCCAGGGATTTTGGGTTCATATTCGTTCTCACTCTGTTCACTTTCATCAACAATTCTCTTTTTTCTACCCCTTCGTCGAGGTCTCTTTAAGAAACATTAATTATATGAAAAATATTAAAAATTGATAGAGATTAACTTGATCAATTTTACCTCATTTTCGCTTTCTTTGCCTTGCGATTCTTTTTCGTCGATAGACTTCGGTTTCCGACCTCTTTTTTTGGGCTGAAAAGGAATAGTTTTTTTTGTTTAATGAAGTAAGTTTAATACGAGTTATGTTAATTTGCCACACATGATTTTAGGAACTAAAACTAACTTTACTATTTTCACTGATTTCAACCTTTTCTCGCTCGGATTCTGATGCTGTCATATCCTCTACATCTGGCTTGAAATCACTATCCGTATCTAGCTCAGAAATACCATCTGCATCAAGGTCCGGTTCTTCCAACTCAGGTTGAAACTGAAGTTTGGAATCATCATCATGAAGCTCGTCTTTGATAGCCGGTACACATATTACTATTTCAGTTTTGAGAACATCCGATGAAGGCTCCGGAGCATATTTTACTTCATCCAATGATTGTTCTATCACTGTAGATACAACCTGCGGGCGTTCCGACTCTCGTCTAGCTGGTATCGTGATTGTCCCGCTTATTGTCTTATCCACTTCCGAACGATGGGTAAGCACCATTCTTTCCGTCACTTTTACAGCATCCTGATCTCGACTATCCCAAAATGTATCGTAAAGGAGAAAATCGGTTCGACTGTGATGCAGTTGATTGGTCTGCTTGCACACTGCTTGAAAGCTCTGGATGATATCGATGAGAGTTTCGCATACTGTGCATATTCGAGCATGTTTTTCACTGCGATTTATCTAATTATTCGAAACGTATCGTTAAGCTCGACAACTTCTGTTATTTCAATTCCCAACATACCTTAACTCCAAGAGCACTGATAACTCGCTTGGATAAATCGTGGCTTTTTGTGAAAACCTCGATAAGTTGATAGTTTGTGCCTGTATGAAAGCACAGACGACATCGTAGTATTTTTATATCCTGTGATGATTCCATTTTTTAATTAAACTTATAAAGAAATTATGCAAACAGTGTGTTATTGCATATTATTAGTCCGGCTGAATGTAAATAAACATATAGCAAAACGTCCGGAGAAAATTGTGATTAGGGCGAAAAAAGCAATGACAACAAAATTGAGAAAATCAAATAAAGATTGCATTACTAAAGTTTATTCCTAAATTTTAGTAGCACTTTTGACATCTAATATTTTATTTTTCGCTATAATCGAATTTTTAAATAAACGAAAATGGAAAACAATATTTTGTTAGAATTTTGTTGTAGATCGTGGCCTGGTTTCGTCAAATGGATATAAAATCTTCATTTGTTTACATTTAGCTAGTTTCGTCCTAATCACAATTTACTCCGGACTTGTCAACATACAATTCAGGGTCGTTTAAAAACGATGGCCCATTCAGGGGAAAAACATGTCAGAAGGGTCTAACTCGAAACTGAAACAATGACTTGGATCGTCGGTTTCTTAGTTAGTAGTTTACATTAGAAATACTCAGAGGGAGAGATAGGCGGAGAAAACAAAATACAATTCGGCAGCAGGGATTTTTACCTAAATTATCTTGCAACCCTTGCTATAAGCCAGCATTTCACATGACTTTAACTTTTGATTCGATTTACGTGCAAAATAATAATTGATAGCAATGCAATATAAAACACATTTCTTGGTGCCGTTAATTAACCAACTAAGATCAATTAATCAATAGAGTTAGAATATTGTTTTTGATTCCAAAAACTAGTTGAATTTGAGAAACACACGGAACATAAAGGTAATTAAATTTTTGTTCGATTGCAAATACTCTTAAATTTAATCTAATAAGAATGAGAAATCCTCGGAAAAAATCTAATGGGAATGTTCGTTTGGCTCAGATTTTGGCAGTTCATTTGGCTCAAAACATTCTCTCCGCCCATCTCTCCCTCTGAGTATTTCTAGTTTACATTTGACTACGGCAAAAATAATTACTTACTCGTGAGTATTTTCTACCCAAAATTAAGTTCAATTGACTCAAATTTGAGAATATCTCATATACCCACTAGTAGCTTATTGAACGATAGTCATGAAAAAGTCGAATCTCTCGTTCCGTTTTTGACAACAACAAAAAGTGAGAGTGGGATGTAAAACTCAAAATTACCCAAAATTAAGTAAAAAGAATTTAAATGTAGGGTAGTTTTTTTTTCTCTGTGAACGTTTTCAGAACAAATCAAGCTGAACATTGCATTAGGTGTGATCGGAGACGAGCCAGCCAACGGCTGAAAGTCTCCTTAATAAAGATATAAAAAAAAATTGCATTAGGTCCTACGTAACATTGACAGATTCTCTTCGTGGACTTTCTCTTTGTATTTCCACAGCCATATAAGGACATTCTCAGGTATTTTCAGCACACAGATCGATAAAAGAAGCTTTTATCTAGCACCTAATACGACAATCACAACAAGAAACGGTTATGTGCTCAAGTTATTAACGAAAGAGAAAGTCGACGAAGAGAATCGATCAATGTTACTTAGGACCTAATGCAATGTTCAGCTTGATAATCTAATTAACACGGTAACCGCAAAATACCCAATAATGACTACAAAGTAAGCATTTTCGAGGGAAATTGAGACTACCCATTAAATGAGTAAAATTTTACCCATTTATGAGTAAATACAACCAGGGTTGCTTCCACTCACTTGCTATAAAAAGATGTTTTTCGGAATTATGAAATCATGAAATAGTATAATGCCAATTAGTACTTGTAAGTTACAAGAAGAGGTCATGAAGTATATGTTTGACACATAAAATCTGTCACGACTCGTGAGCGCTCACTCAGAGTGGTTATGACAGGTTTATGAGTCATACACATACTTTACACCCTCTTCCTGTTACTTAAAAGTACAACATACCATTATAACATCTACTGATTGCACAATTCCGAAAAACATCTTTTTATAGCAAGTGAGTGGAACCAACCCTGATTACAACTACAAAAATAAGTGGTAAGTATTCATTTGTAAGTAAAAATTCTGATAAATGGGTAACTTTTTTACTCATTTAATGGGTAGTCCCAGTCTCCCTCGAAAATGCTTACTTTGTAGTCAATATCGATTGATTGATTGATTTATCTTTATTAAGGAGGCTTTCAGCCTGAGACTGGTTCTCCTCCACAGTCAATATCAAGCCTTTTAAAATGATTATTGTGTATTTAGCGGTTACCGTGAAGATCTCCCATAGGCGATACTCTTGCAGCTATGTCCGGCAGACTGTTCTCTGAAACGTAGGGAAGAGCACCAAATTTCGGTAGTCGTTGTCTTCAAGAGATTTGCTGCTTCCCGCATTAGTCGCGTATCCTTCAAGGTATTGTGTGTAGCACGATAATTTCTCAAAATGGGATTATACCATCTGTTATCTGTTTACACACTTAATCTAGCTCGGTAAAATCTCCAATAGCCGATTACTTCGGCATTTACTTTTACTGATATATCTGCAAAATATCTGTTTGTTAGCTCATATCTAAGCAAAATGATATTTGTTAGCTGAGTCTCGGCAATTGTTTTACTGAATATCAGCAAAATAAATTGCAGAACTACTCGGCTGTTGGAATCTCGGCGAAAAAAATTAAGTGTGTATGGCCGTACGACTGACTGCGCCCATTGATGTAACACACGGCGGCTCTTTATCCAGGATTCGCTCCTCAAGCCGGTGCCATAAAATAGTCGAAATTCTAGTACTACGCAATGTTTGTTTTGATTCGCTATGAAAGTTTGACAGATAAAATGAGAGGTTATTGGTTTTTCCTATGTTTCGAGGGGTGAATCGATTAGCTTGGGACCGAAGAGAGTACCAGATCTGAGCCAAAAAGTTGAGCACATTATTTCGGGACCTTCTAGTCTTAGAGTTACCTCTATGGTACCACCAACAATCAATACGAAACTAACGATTTTAAATTGGCTCACTACTTGACTAGCCATTGGTCCCAAGCAAACGATTAACATACCCCATTCTAATCGATATTCTTCTACTACACAATGTTTGTTTTGATTCGCTATGAAAGTTTGACAGATAAAATGAGGGGTTAGTGGATGATCGCGCACGGTACGACCCGATTTTCTACGTTGTGTTATAAAGATTAAAATACGATGATGATTTGGGCCGTCCTGCCATGGCGGAGGCAGACAATACTGTGTGTGTTTATTGTATAGAGGACATGGTATCAATTAAATTGCAATCTGGACAAAATGACAGTAACATACATAATTGAAAGATGACATCTGTTGGTAAGAGTATTAACTATTCCACAGTTCAGGGTAAAGGCGGTAAATGTCGCTTGCGCGAACAGTGGATTTTCGAGGGGTGAATCGATTAGCTTGGGACCTAAGAGAGTACCAGAGCTGAGCCAAACAGTTGAGCACGTTATTTCGGGACATTCTAGTCTTAAGGGCCACCCACATTAGATCCGTTTGCGTTGCGTTGACGTAAATTTGACAGATAGACAATAGATTTAGCTGTCACTTTCCTGCAACGCGTCCGATCCGGATCTAATGTGCGTGGGCCTTTAGAGTTACCTCTATGGTTGCAGCGCGCTTATGAGCGGCGCGCATTATCCGTCACCAAATGAGAATTTAACATAAACGCGATAATATCATAGAGGTAACTCTAAGACTAGAAGGTCCCGAAATAACGTGCTCAACTTTTTGGCTCAGCTCTGGTACTCTTTTCGGTCCCAAGCTAATCGATTCACCCCTCGAAACATAGGAGAATCCACTAACCCCTCATTTTATCTGTCAATCTTTCATAGCGAATCAAAACAAACATAGTGTAGTACTGGAATTTTGACTAGAATGGGGTCCGTTAATCGTTTGCTTGGGACCAATAGGCTAGTCAAGTAGTGAGCCAATTTAAAATCGTTAGTTTCGTATTGATTGTTGATAATATTGTGTGTGGCAGGTAAATTTCACAAACAGGTATTATACCACCGACAAACCGACATGAAACTTAAACTTAACTCTTGATCGAGAATCCATAACGGCCGATTCAAATGTGCATCTGTCAAAACTAGAAATACTCAGAGGGAGAGATGGGCGGAGAAAACAAAATACAATTCAGCAGCAGGGATTTGTATGTAAATACTCTTGCAACCCTTGCTAAAACTTAGCATTTAAATGACTTTTACTTTTGATTCGATTTACGTGTAAATTAATAATTGATTGAATCGCAATATTTTGCTCATTTTATGGTGCCATTGATTAACCAACTAAGATCAATTAATCAATAGAGCTAGAATATTGAATTTGATTCCAAAAACTAGTTGAATTTGAGAAGCACACGAAACATAAAGGTGATTGAATTTCTGTTCGATTGCAACTCTCAAATTTAATCTAGTAAGCATAAGAAATCCTCGGAAAAAACTACAATGGTGACGTAGAACTACGTGGTCTTACATAATAAATGTTATAAATGTTAACTGCAGCAGGAGCTTGTGTTTTGTGTAGGAATAGGAATTTCAGTGGGGTTCACTCTGTTTACACTCTTTAGTATGACGCGCTTGACATAGATGGCCCACAGCTACTCACGAAGATCTATTGATTCCGATAAATAGCGGTGTGACTTCTTCCTCCTTCTATGGATGCTCATGTGGGCTGCAGCTCGCTGCTTGCAGGCAGCCTTTCGTTGTGTACTGTCACGCGGTGATTGAATAAACACCGTTTGGTGAGACCGGATGGAATTCAACTTTGAAATCTGTGTTAGGGAAATCGCTTTTCGCAGGCAATCGGTGATAATTTTAATTATCATAGCAACAGTTGCATTCGTGCAATTTTCAATAGTGACATTTTGAAAAATAATAATGTCTTAAATTTAACAGACGCGTTGAAATATTTCTGATCGATTGGTGATGAAATTATTGACATTGGTCCATTGGCAGCTGAGTTATTTACGTTCAAAATCTTTCATAATTTTGTTACATGTTCCATTTTCGGTTTTCACAAAGTGTACCCCCATATAGAAATCACAGACATTCTCTCCGCTCATCTCTTCTTCTAGAATTTCTAGTCAAAACCACAGAAATGTTTTATCTAGATAAAAATAATTTGTCCGATATAGATTAGACACGAACCAACTAATAAATTTTGTACGCGTGTTCGTGGCTAGGATAAATATTTTCCGCGAACACGGCGGCAGATGCCAGTTTTGTGCTTTGACCAGAAATTTCTTTGTAATTTGTATGATCATTCATGTCGGTTTGTTGGTGATTATACCATCTGTTTTCTGTTTATGGTCGTACGACTGCGCCCATTGATTTAACACACGGCGGCTCTTTATCCAGGATTCGCTCCTCAAGCCACTGCCATAAAATACTGTCTAAGTTACACACCTGTGTATAATTCTTATGGGCGGGGTTGCAGCGCGCTTATGAGCGGCGCGCTTTGGCCGTCACCAAATGAGAATTTAACATAAGCGCGACTATACTTCTTTCCATTATTTAACGTCGGTCTCTGTTCCGCAATCTAGTGCCAATCACCGACGGACATCGATTGCCATCCATTGACGGCAATCGAATGTGCAGAAAGGCAGCTTCCACACCTGCGTAGGATATCGTACCCATTCAAACACACATGGGCCGGGACCAACGGCTTTACTTCCCTTCCGAAGGAAGACATGACCAGAAATTTTTATGCCCCAAAAAAATCCCACCGACCTCGGCTGGGATTGAACCCAGACTCATTGGGGTGAGAAAGCAGTCACGCTTACCACTACACCACCGGCGCCGGTAAGCGCGACAATACTAGATACACGATATTTGTAGCCTATGAGTATGAGTAGCCCTGAACAGGAGGGATATGAATTTCGGCTTTAATGAAAAATAATTAAACAGAAAATGCATTTTTTTAATTTGAATGATTACAAAAGTATTTATTCACATCACATATGATACTTTTACGCTTATAGCCAGACTAGCAATCATCAAATGATGTCCACTTTCCATTAGCTTGACATTTCGTTTCCACGACGCGTTTGTCTTCGCAAAGAATTTTCAGCCACTCATTAAATTGATAGGAGCTCCCGGAGATAATCTTTGCTGTGTTACTTGTTTTAGGCCTTCCACAAGATATTTCTGTAAATAAAATTTAGTTGCTATCATTGAAATTTCTACTGGTACAATGTGAACATACTAAAGCATCTCGCTACAATTGGTGACCATGTTCCATCGATAGAACATTTTATGATGGGATGGCCCTGCATGGCATATCCTTCCTGGCAGCGGTATTCAATCTCATCATCATAGTAGTACCGAGAATCAATCGAACTTGCTGCAATCACCATACCTTGCGGTACCGTTGGCTGCTCACAGAGAACGCCTTCACAAAAACTGTCAAAGTGGCTCCAATGGCCTTCCTTAGTGCATTCTACGTAGCCTTTGCCTTTCATAGTGAAACCTGAATTGCATCCGTACTTCACTCGAGCACCTACCTCGAGCGTATCGTACCGTTTCCGAAGTTTCTCGATTCGCAGATCTACCATTCGCGTTTCCATGGAGGTCGTTTCAATTGTCAATATTCTACTGTCAATTGGTGGTTCCGGTACTGCACTCAATCTGCACCGTTGGACAAGAATACGCTCTGCTTCAGCAAGTGCCACAATCTTCTTGAGTGCATTCCTTTGATTTTCAATTTCCTGATGTCGTTCGTCGTCCAGTTCTCGCTGATGCGCTTCGTAGATGGGCTGAACAACATTTTTTAGTAGACTTTTGATTTTCTCGTTCGTGTTCTCTCTTGAGTTGATATCTAGGTAAATTTCATCATCAAAGGTCACCTCTCGGTCCATCATGATGATATCAATGAACAGACAGATCACGAAACGATAGGCATCTTCGGTTTCTTTTGTTAATCGCTGGGATTCAACAATTGGATCGTTCGTTCCGTACAGGATGTAATCCAAGAGGTTTCCCAGCTTCATAGTTGCATCCGGTTTGGTTGTCCACTCTAATCGCTCCAGCAATTTGACGTCCATGTTATAGTAATCGTCCGATACAGGTAGATCGAATATCGATAAGTCGGTGAATCTAGTTGGAGCAGCTCCTGGTTTTTCGCAAAATGAAGACCTTTTCCTGGGATCGGATGGATTACATCCGTAGAACAAATAGTCTTTCAGTTGTTTCCAAAAACGAATATCTGGCCGCCGATTTATTTTGATAATACTTGGAGCTTTTGATTGAGAAACAGTCGATGCCGTGATTGTTTCAGTAGTGTTTTCCAGGATATCTGGAGTGCATTCAGGTAAGGCTACGTCCCAGCTACCAGTATCCAAACACGTTAGAAGGTTTTCTCCGTACGATGAGTATCCTTCATTGCACTGTACTTCTGCCAGTGTTCCCAGAGCATAGTTTTCAAATACTTTGTTCAACACTCCACTTTCCGTTGCATAGATTATGTACGAATCCGGCTGTGCCGTCAACGCAGGACACTTAATCATACTTATGCATTCTGGTAATGACTCTGACCAATTTCCATGAATGGTACAATGAGCAAAATCAGCTCCCGACAGATAAAATCCTTCATCGCAAACGAATCGGGCTATTCCTTTGTAACTCGATTTGGACATAATCACTCTGCCGTTCAGGATTGAACTTAAAGAACCGCAGCGAATCACTGGAATAAAAAAAAAAGTTTGAACACTTACTTATTTACCGTTTACACAATGAAGTCGTGCACTAACGTTTGCAAAAACTACTCGTATCACTCCAGCTGGATGTTCGTAAGCAGACAATTTCCGATGGACCATGCAGTTTGTATCCTTCGTCGCAACGAAGATAGGCTCCGTTGTCAAAATAGTTTATGTGGCCATTTTGTAGCGTCAAATTTCTTTCGCAATGTCTGCAGAACTCGGATCTCTGGAGTTTCACTGTTCCAACGATTTTCGATTTCAGATCAGTCCATTTGACCAAATCACCTTGGTAGGGCTCACAGCTATGGTAGAGATCCCTTACTTCGTAACCACTGAGCGCTCGACTCCATAAATCCAAGTAAGCTAGCTTCCCTACAAACGATTCTGTCTCGCTGAAATCACCTCCAAGGGAGTCCTGTTCTTGGCCGATCACGAACAAACCATTTGCTTCTATCGCCTTTCCACTACTTAGTCCGTATCCTGTAGTGTGAAGCTGACCGTCCAGAAAAATTTCATACAAACCTTTATGGCTTGTCCAGGCCAGACAAATGAAGTGCCATATACCATCATTGATGTAAACATTGGTCACCACGTGATCTCCGGATACGTAAAGTACAAATCCGCTGTAATCGGTGAAGGTGAAGGCATTATCCATATTTGATGTGGCATAAGATATAACTGATCCATAGTTAAAATCGTCACTAGTTTGAATCCACGTACAAAGTGAAATTTCTGACAGGTTGCGCTTGGGTCCAGCAATTTTCACGTAGTCATTAACGCCGGACTTTTCAAAGGACATCACAAAGTCTGGAGTCGTTAGAATTTCACAAAATTGTCCGTAGAAATAAGGTGGACATTCACAGGTCACTTTCATGTAAATTTCGTCATTTGCTAAATCCATATAGTCAGTATCTGAATTCCGAAGTTTGGCAGGCTTACAGTCGCCATTGTTTTTGCAAGGAGCGCGATCGCAAGGGTTATCTATCTCACTGCAGTTTATTCCTTTCAATCCTTTCGGGCACACACATCGGTAGCTTTCTCTATCCGCTCTCACATGATCCACATTGACGCAGATAGCATTCTTTGGACATGGCAAGTAATCACAGGGCTTCAGATGACACCGTTTCCCCATTTTCCCTGGAGGACAGGAACAGCTGAATCCTTCTCCATTGCTCCAACAATCTCCACCATTCTCACAAGGGTTGGGTGTGCAAAAATTCTTCTCGATTTCACAACGACTGCCGTCGAAACCAAGTGGACATTCGCAGTTTGAAACACCTTCACTTTCGACGCACATTCCTCCGTTGAAACATGAATCGTGCCGACAAGGGTCGATGAATTGCTCACAAAGCTGACCACTGTATGAATTCGGACAAACACATTTGAAAGATGTTGCATTAATTGACACGCACGTACCAGCATTATAGCACGGAGCAGAGGCACACGCGTTCAACTGTTTCTCGCAGTGTGACCCTACGAAGCCTTCCTCACATACGCAACTATACAGTTCGTCGTTCAAAGGCTCTGGAATACATTGTCCACGTGGTCCACAAATGGAGAACTCCGTTAAGCATGGTTGACTATGTTTCGGAGCGCAATCTGCTATCGACGTAGATCCTCGAGGAGAAATATGGTCAGGTGGACATTTATCACAGCTTATTCTATTGTACAACCCTTGATATTCTCCCGGTTCACACTTCCGGCAAAACGGCACCAGGCTCTTGTGGTACTTCTGAACTTTTTCTTTCTTCATTAGTTTAAGCTTGGCTACTGTTCCCGGAGGACACTGAGGTTTACATTCGGACGAATGCTTACTATTGGGTTTTCTTGTTGAATGAGCTGGTGAACAATGGATACAATTCGCTTGGCCTGTTAACTCGTTGTAGCTTCCAATAGGACAGGAATTGCAGGTGTTTGTAGTTAAGTTGTGATATGTTCCTCTAGGACACTGAACTGCAATGGTACATTAGCACGTTTTGAATGAATCACATTTACGAATTAATTCATACTAACCGCAAACTAGTTTCTTGGCTACACTGCCATTTTGGCAGCGTATTGTTTCGTCAAGCTTTAGAATGCTGAGGTCCATATTCATGTCACCAAGACGTTTTCTCAATTTTTCATTGTTGTTGATATTTTGTAGCTCTGCCTTCACTCTCTGAAATTGTGAAATATACGAGTATAGATAAATAGCTTGAATTATTCCTAAATTTTTAAAAATTGTTTTCAAGTCCATTCTTCATAAATTGCCATATACAATGGAAAATTGTTGGCGCACATCTTTTCACTTCATATTTATTAATTAGGCGTTCAAAGTCTACAAAAATGTGTATATTTTGCAAATTTGGAAAGTGTGATAAATTTCCTATAAGAATTGACCAAGAGTTTATGATTTGAGTAGCTCAAAATGATTTGGTGAGCGACTATGTGACGTGCCGTTACAACGCTTTGCACTTCTCAACTACAATACTCAACAACTGCTCAACAAAAGACCAACGGCGCCGGTGGTGTAGTGGTAAGCGTGATTACCTCTCACCCCAGCAGGCCTGGGTTCAATCCCAGTCGGCGCCGCCGGGATGTTCTGAGGCATAACATCTCTGATCACGCCTTCCTTCGGATGGGAAGTAAAGCCGTTGGTCCCCGGTTCATGAGTTGATGGGTCGATAGGTAGGGTCCAGGTGTGTGGGAGCTGCCTTCCTGGCACGTCGGTAGCATTGGTAGCAAAGGAAAAAAAAAACTGCTCAACAAAACGTTTTGAGCTACTCAAATTAGAAACGCTTGATCATTTACTATAGGAAATTTAGCGCATTTTCCAAATCTGCAATAATATTTAGCGGTTACTTCTCATTTCTTTTATTACAGTACAAAAACTTTCAAAAAAAAAACAGGCAAAGCACCGTTGTAACTTCACGTAGAATGTGTCAGTATCGTTTCCTTATCAAGTACGAACTTTCGTGAGTCTGGATTTCCACGATGCCGCGGCAAGACCGGAAGAACCGACTGAGCCTATAGATGAAGAATCTGAAGAGTACGGTGAAGAACGGAATGCTCGATGAAACCGTCTACATGCGTCAACCGTATAGAGATAGCATGGGTGACGAACAAACTGTCTGCTGTTTGAGGAGTATGTACGGCCTGAAGCCATCAGCGCGCGTATGGAACCAAACAAATTGATTCTGTTTTAAAAGACTCGGCATTCCAGCCAACGAACTCGGATCCATGCTTGTACGTACGATGGACGAATGCTATGCTAACGTACATTATTATCTACGGCGACGATATGATCATCGTGACGAGAAGAATCTTGAAGCAAATTTCACCTTGACATCTAGGACTCCAGCATCATCGAGCAGCAAGCAGTGGAGAAATTCGAAATTTTCCAATATTTTGGCAGCCAGATAGCATAAGATGGCGGGACAAAGAGCGATATGCGGTTCACGAATCAAGAAGGCTAGGGCTGCTTGTATGTGTTTACGAAATGTATGGAGATCAATACAGGCAAGTCAACGCATCAAAAGCCGAATTTTCAATTCAATCTGTGTTGTTATACACCAACGAGTCGTGGTGTGTATCAGCTGAGAACACCCAAAAGCTGCAGGTCAACCGATGCCTGCGGTATATAATTCGTGCCTGGTTGCTTCCACAACTGGATCTTGAATGCGGAGCTCCATCTTCGATGTTTTCAGAAGCCTATATAGCAAAGCAGGGCATATACGATTGTTCAAATCGTGAGGGGCTATTTAATAGTCAACCAATACATCCAGCATCGCATTATATACCTGACCACATCCTTACAAACGCAGGGGATAGGAAGGAGAATTGGTCCAACATCTACTTAACAAAGTGCAGGGAACCCATACTACCTTCATTGATGTCACGGGAGGGAACATTTTTGTTAGTAGGAACTAGGAAATGCTATATATTTTGGAATCTCTATTCGGTAATATAAAATCAAGATTATGTGAAAATGCAAATACAAAGATCTCAACAAAATTATCTGCAATAACCCTGTCCTTCCATGTTTTTGAAGATACAATGAAGTGAATGAAGTCTTCGAGCTATGATTTTTTGCATGAAGGTGCATCGTTTTCCAACAAATGAACACTCTGAGACTTTATTTACTCCTGACGATAGTAGGTAAAGAAGTGCTGAGATGAAGATCTCCATGTCAATTGTGAGAGTTCATAGTAAACATTTTAAGTAGCTATGTGTAAAATTCCATACAATATACCAATGGAATCGATTTTTTAGAATATAATTCCAAAGGATTTCTGCGATGAATTTTAAACAGTTTTTAGAGAATTTTACGAAGAATTCCAAGTGAATTTTCAGAAGAATTCAGATGAGGTGAATTGAATAGGAATTTTAAAGAGAGCTTAAGCGAGTTAAAAATAATAATTATATGCATCAGTAAAAAAAACTACAAGAGACAGCCCAATGGGGTTGTACGCAATGATGACGTAGAGCTACGTGGTATGATATAGTAAATATTTTTGTTAACCGCAGCAGCCCAACAAACAATTTTAGCTGCAGATCAGCTTATACAGACAAAAATTAGCTGCAAACAGGGGAGCTTGTGTTTTGTGTAGGAATAGGAATTTTAGCGGGGTTCTCTCTGTTTATACACTTTAGTATGACTATGATTGCCCTGAAAAGAACCTTTTGATATGAATTTTAGTTGAGACATGTTCAGAAAATTAACTCTTTTGGAAAATGTTGATGGCCCTTGGTGCAGTGCTAGAATTTTGACTAGAATAGGGTACGTTAATCGTTTGCTTGGGACCAATAGGCTAGTCAAGTAGTGAGCCAATTTAAAATCGTTAGTTTTGTATTGATTGTTGGTACAACCATAGAGGTAACTCTAAGACCACTGGGTCCCGAAGAAAATCATTATTATTGTTGGCTCACTCAGTACCAGAACAACGGTCCCAAGCAGTCCCAAGCTATTTCACTCACCCCTGCATGTTCTGCATGAATCCACACACCCCTGATGTTATCTGTCAAACTTTCATAGCGAATCAAAACAAACATAGTGTAGTAATAGAATTTCAACTAGAATAGGGTACGTTAATCGTTTGCTTGGGACCAATAGGCTACTAAAGTGGTGAGCCAATTTATAATCGTTAGTTTCGTATTGATTGTTGGTTGAACTCTGGTCAGCTAGCGTGAAGAAACAAACTCACACACACAGATATCCAGTTAAGGGGACGTTCACGGCTCCGAAAAAATAATTACGTTTTTTTTGACTATATGTTTTAGTATTACTTCTACGTGAAGTCAACGATTTACATAGTTGAAGATGCTAATTTCAAATAACAGACTGTAGTGGTAATTTTTATACGATAGATGGAGTAGATGAAAGCATAGAGTTGATAGTTCAGTTAGAGTACGGCAGTGTGAAGATTGCATATAGATATTAGAATAGAGAGCTAGGACAACTTTTAAGGAAGGTACAAATCGGTTTTTTCATCTCTCTTTACCAAACTCCCCCTTTGGAGAGGGATGGTGAGGGGTGTCCCCCCCGCCACCACTGGCAAAAAGAGATGAAAACCGACCCGCTCAAGTACCAACTGTGTGTTTGAAACAGTTCTACCGATTTTTTACCGCACTTCAGTTGTTATTCGAAGGAAGGCATCCAGTCGTAGGTTTGGAAATTGCAACTATTGTTTACCCCTACCACGATATGTGCTCCAAATTACGTTTTGATTTTTGTAAAGGTATTGGGTAGAGATAACAGAAATCTAAAGACATCAATTTTTTTTCTGATTTTTTAAGGAGATTCATGTGCAAAACCATTTTCTAGTCATCATGACATAAAGGTTGACTCAACAAAACACGATTCAGCGACCTTTCGGTTTTGCTGAGTGTCTAGTTTTTTTTTTTTATGATGAGACGGAAAACATGTATTTGCTTGTGAATTTTCGCAGGAATCTGAGGAAAGGAATTTTTTTATGTTTTTTCCCTGTATTTTTACGAAAATAAAAACGCACCTAAAAAGAAATCTAATTTTCGATTCGGTGAACTTTGTCTTAAAGATGCCCATAAAACTAGCTTCTTTTCCCTTTTTTTTTCATTTCATTCATCTCTTTTCAGAAAGCGAGTAATGGCGCTATAACCATAGGCCTTGAAGGGCTAGGACAAGAGTTAGTGCTCATGTCCGGACCACTAAAGGAAGATAGAGCATCCCTTCAGTTTTTTTTTAGACTAGATGCTCCCAACAACCAATCATTTATAAATAACAATACAACGGATCGTACGGTACGAGATGTCCACTAGACTGATGCAAAATTTGACTTTTTCGTTCCACAGTGCTTAAATGGTTTCAAATCGGGTCCTGATTAGCCTCCCAAAGTTACAACTCATTTGGTTAGGAACAGACTTCGCACAAGCCAGTTGAAGTTTACATGTAAATTACTATGGGAAATCTCAACTTTTTGTTCATTGCATTCTAGTCTTTTTCCATATTGAGCTGCGAAACAGTTTGATAGCCATTCTTATAGAAAATTTTCTCAGCTACAACTTTTCTGAAGATCGTTTCTATGTAAAACGAGACAGGAAAAAGTTATTAATTATTTAAGAGATTGGTAAACTTATGACATGATCAAGCAGCTGCTCTGTAGGCAACACTGTATTTTGCAGTGTGACATATTAGCCATGATTTTTGTGTCCTATTCAACGCCCCAGAAACACCAATGTTGCCTGCTGAGCAGTTGATTGAGCATGATCATAAGGCATCAGCGCATTGAACCATTGATAACTTTCGATCGTTGCTTTTAACCAAAAAGTGGTTTGAGCAAAGTTGTAGCTGGGAAAATTTCCTATAAGTACAGTTGAAAGCTTTTGAAGAAGACCGATATGGTGAATTATTAGATAGACATGAACAAAAATCTTGGTTTTACCATAGTAATTCCCATACAAACTTCAAATGGTTTGTGCCATCTCAGTTTCTCAAAAAAAGGGGTCAAAATTTTGAGAGGTTAGTCAGGATCCGATTTGGAATCGTTTAAGTATTGTGGAGCGAAAATTTCAAATTTTGCATCACTCTAATGTCCACGTTTCATCCATTTATTGGATTCTTAAGTATTGTGTTTAAATCTTTGACTTCAACAGGCTCTGATGTTACTTAAATGCTGCACTGTAGACCTGGCCGTTTTGATA